CATGGCGTGGGCATGTATGGCTGCCAATGGAACTGGTTCTCTTGTATTTATTGATGATGTGACTGCTGACAAAAGCAGCAGGATGAATTCTGAAGTGTTTCGGGAATATTATCTGCTCATATTCAGCCAAATGCTTCAGAACTCATTGGACGCCGCTTCACAGTGCAGATGGACAATGACCCAAAGCATACTGCAAAAGCAACCAAGGAGTTTTTTAAGGGAAAGAAGTGGAATGTTATGCAATGGCCAAGTCAATCACCTGACCTGAATCCGATTGAGCATGCATTTCACTTGCTGAAGACAAAACTGAAGGGAAAATGCCCCAGGAACAAGCAGGAACTGAAGACAGTTGCAGTAGAGGCCTGGCAGAGCATCACCAGGGATGAAACCCAGCGTCTGGTGAGGTCTATGCGTTCCAGACTTCAGACTGTAATTGACTGCAAAGGATTTGCAACCAAGTATTAAAAAGTGAAAGTTTGATTTAGGATTATTATTCTGTCCATTACTTTTGGTCCCTTAGCAAGTGGGAGGCACATATGCAAACTGTTGTAATTCCTACACTGTTCACCTGATTTGGATGTAAATACCCTCAAATTAAAGCTGACAGTCTGCAGTTAAAGCACATCTTGTTCATTTCATTTCAAATCCATTGTGGTGGTGTATAGAGCCAAAAATGTTAGAATTGTGTCCATGTCCCAATATTTATGGACCTGACTCTATCTGTCTATATCAGGCTCCATGGTGCTTATCCTCTTCCTAACACCTTGGCTCTTATACTTTCTTGTGCACTCCCCTTTACAAGAAGTTGGTCTTCCATGTCACCCCGTGAGCCTCAGTGGCCTTCTTTGAGTGCTCTTGCCAACAAAGCACACTCTGCTTGTGATTAAGAAGGGTTAGCACCTTTAAAAGGTCACTTGTACAAATGGAGCCTTTTCTCTATTGCCCCTGGCAGCCTTAGCTCCCCCTTATTTCTTCACGGGAGCCCCCTCCTTTCCTTACATGAGAACCAAAAGTATCCTATATAAGCTGGTTCCTCTTGCTTCCCTGGAGCACTACTCCCCTTCTGTGGGACTATCATTCTCCCTTCCTATGTCCAACGTGAAGGCATACCAAACATAAATTTAAGGGGTAGTTTCAGGCCTGTCATCTATGGGCACCTGCCATATCTTCCTCCTCTATTCTTTCCACGCTTGATGGTCACTTTATGGATGGACTTACTCCTCTTGCATTTTGCTGGGTGCACATTTTAACTTTTTTTTTTTTTCTTTTACGGCTTCTGCCCTCAGGAAATAAGACACTCCAGCCCCCTAAGCTGTCCAGGTTCTTGGGCATTTTACAGCATCTAGGACCAGATCCTCTGTTCACATTTTTCAATACTTTTTTTCTCAAGCTTCTGCAGGCAACAGTCTCTTCAGGGTCCAGTGCAGCTGTTTTAGCTATTTTGTTGAAAGCGTGCATGAGAACATAAATGTAAATTCCATAACTTGGAATACAACTTCAATTCTGGAAATAAAATTGGCTGTAAAGACTCAAGGGGGAATATGTCAATGTTGTGGTGTAAATATTGGTGCATCTTCTGCTCCCCAAAACTAACATTATATACATTCTATGTGGTGTTGCAACCTGCCACACCAAATCATGTAGAAAGTTTTTTTGCAACAATCGCCAATGTGCAAGAGCATGCATCAAATTTAACCACTGCAGAGCCACCTGTATTGTACTGCAGACAAGCAACTCCTACAGGCAGGGCCAGAGCTTCCACTAGGCAAACTAGGCAGCTGCTTAGGGTGCACTGCCACCAAGCGCACAGCACAGACCAGCACTCTGTGTGGGACGTAGCAATGTCATAAATGATTCTCCAGCTGAGGGGAGGAATAAAGGAAGGACAGAGGAAGATCCTGGGTGTCTGGGGCCAATGTAGCACTCCTTCCAGTGTTCCTCTCAGACTCAGTCCCTTACTGCAAGCCAGCTGGTGGCTGCTGATCACTGTGGAGTTCCAGCTCTTCTCTTCCCAGTCATCAGCAGAGGCAAGGAGTAGAGGAATGTAATGTCTGACTGTGATGTCGCATGTCTGTGTGACCCATCAGATGTGCAATGTGTCAGTGAGTGATGACATAATCATGATCCCACAGCCTGCTCTTCTAGTGCCTGTTGATGTGTGTGTGTGTGTGTGTGTGTGTGTGTGTGTGTTGGTGCTAGAGTTGAGTCTGGACCGAAGACAGTAAGGAGAAAAAAAAATTGCAAGCAAAAAATAGGTTAGTCTTTCAGACTATCAGAACTGAAGGCAAGACATCAATTCTCACTGCTACTAGGCATTCTCAGCTGTTAAGCACTCTCTCCTGTCCTCTGCTGACTGGCGGGGGGGGGGGGGGGGGGGGGGGGGGGGGGGGGGGGAGGGGGGAAATCACGTGATCAGATTGTAGCAGTAGCCTAGTCAGGTTTAGTTTGGAATTATACTGTCAGTTCTGTAGCCAATGGGCTTCTTTCAGCATAGGTGAGCGGTACAATACGTCATTGTACTCATATGTTGGTTTCCTTTGAAAATTGGTGTCACCCAACAGTAACACATTGATAAGTCAATAAAGCTGCTTTCTCAGCACATATGCATGAAGCACCTAGTGCTGCCTCTCCTAGTCCTGCTGTGCAAGGCATGACAAAGGCAGATACTGAAACTCAGGTATGTAAAACAAATCTTGTACTTGTGTTTCAATCCAGCAACTCAAAAGTACTGAAACCACAGGATAAAAAATGACAGCTTAAGAAAATGGCATTTTCAGAAGGAGAACTCCCCAAAATCAACCTCCATGTTCAATCACTGGTTGGTTTATCAAATAAAGATTAAGTTCAGAAAGATTTTAAATTATTACAAAAGGTATACTGGAAGGATTAGTGCTTTATTGCAGATTTGGAGTTTAAAGGAAAGATGTATGGAACTGGTTATGCGCGAGCGAGCGTGCGTGGCGTGTACAGTTTTAATAAAATTAGCGTTAAAAATGATTAAAGACCCATGCATTATATATGGCACCTCTGGCTTGTGCTTATGGCACTGAAAAAAGGTAAAGGGCCCAAGTATTACAGAATATAGACAGACCCATATTTAGCATGTTACAAAAATGTTTAGAGCAAAAATGCAATTTTTATGATCTAAAAATGTTAGACAGTTCACTAAAACATCACATTTTTGCTGTGACTTGGATGTAAACAAAGAAAAATGCTAAAACTGCATTCAAGGGGTGCAGAAGGCCTAGGTTACATGCTAGAGATAACAGTTACACCCACTGGCTGACTTTACACCTTACCAACAGTGGATTAATACTGTAGTGTATGCAACTGAGAACACTTCAGCTACTTCTTACCATTTTCTCTCTGTAAGAGAGAGTTGTTCACCCTTCTAGAATGGTTCACTATTATGTAAATACAAATACTACAAAACAGAGTCACTAAACACAGTGCTGGTTTCCACAATTTGGCTTTACTTTGCAGTACAGAAATCATCTTAAACCCTATTAAGCAACAAGTCAGGGTAGGACTCTGTCAAATCAATACTGCATCTCTGTTTAATCCTGCCGGAAGCTGTGAGGGAATACAGAAACACAGGCAAGCTTGGCCTGCATAATACTAATGGCTTGGTTTGGTACTTCATTACAATAAAAAGGAAGGAATCTTTCCCAGCTGGTGTCAAGAAATGGGCAGGCCTTGTGATCCATGTCACACAAGCCTGACTATGAACTAATATAGTGAGGGCGAAACAGGGACAGATGACCTGCCCAAATACTCTCAAGTGCTTTGCAGCACAAAAAAATAGAGTGATCTGCCAAGTTTCTTATAATCCTGGTATCTTTATATATGTATATTTAAAAAAAAAGAAAAAAAAATAAAGAAAGAAAGAAAATCTTCAGTATGTGTGTACCAGTGATGACACTAAATTAAAATACAGAGATAAAAAGTCAATACGGAAGGCAGATAACTTCATTGCAGGATGTACATTTTCTATTAAACTGGGGGGAAAAAAAATAAAAATAAATGTGCCTTCTGTAGTATTTATGACTAGGCCAGACAGCGGCAGCAGCTTCATCAGAATATGAAACAGGAATGGGCATAGAGCAATTACCAGTGCAGTATTCTTGGATTTCCAGGACTTTTTACAAAAAGCAGGCCTTACAATATTGAGTTTCATACAGTGTTCCTAATTTCCAGAAATATGTTTGTAGCAGATTTAGAAATTCTCCCAGGCTTGGGCATTGCATGCCTAGTTTTCACCAAAGATGTCCTCTTTCTTGCGTTTCATTTCTTCAAAGTCAAATTCACTGCCCATCATTCTTTTATAGATGTCCTTGATATCATGGCAGGTGGTTTCAAAGTGGGTGGTGGCATCATACGAGCGTGAAATAAAGATCTGTGGAAAGGATCAGGGTTATTGGTTTCTAACATAGTGCAATAAAAAACTAACCCAACAGGGGAAATCTAAAAAAACAGACTTTGTGGTCTTTTTTTGTCAAGTGGACCTTCAGCCAAACTATATTTTTTAAGTTGTGAAAAGAAAGCAGATGGACTAGAAATTTCTGCCAGCTTTCTACTTCTCTGTGTTCTTCCGGTTTAAGGAGGATCCCTCACTTCCTGTTCCAATAATATAAGTAAGGGGTGTTTCCGTAGCAGAGTTACAGAGAAAGTGGTATCAACTTCCCCCAGAAGTTGTCTTCTGTTTTTTTGCACCTGATGGCACTGCACGTGTGCCAGAGACTGACCAGCAGCCTTCGGGAAGTGCAACATAGGCATCCCAGAAACGGGATGGGGGGGTTATCCATTCTCAGCTAGGCAAGAAAAATCAGAAGAAAGGTCCTGTATAGCGGTTTTTTTTTTGGGGGGGGGATTGTAGGGCTGGGGGTAAAAAAGCAAAGTCTGAAGATCTGCTTAAAACACTATGGAGTAGTGTCTAATAAAAAGGACGGAAGACAGCAAAAACAATGTATTAAAAAAAAAAAAAATTCTTACCTGACTGTCTATTCCCAAATCAGTAGGGGCATACAAGTCGCTAATACTATCAAATCTAGAGGTGAGAGTTGAAATAAAGAAAGATTAAAGCACAAGTACAATCTTTTTCAGGACCAAAACACCTAACATTCCCTGACATACAAGAATATCATTTGTGATTAGATAAAAATGATTCCATGTATTTTATAAGATCTGTATGAATGCAATGCTATGAATGATCATCAGCGACTAGGGGAAACACCTACCTGGTCAGGATGTTAAGTTGACATGACATGAGAGATCATTACCTTTTTGAACATCTCAGGTGTAGCTAGCGTGCACTATACAAAAATATGTAAACAAACAAAAATATATTACAAATTCAAACTTTATGGTAAAGACTAAACTGACTGCAAACAACTTAAGACATGAAAAAGGAAATAAAATGCATTGCTTTGTATGACAAAGAATCTTATCAGTAATCCAACAGTGCAAAACAGTTGCTTAATATAGGCAGCTTACAATGCTGCACATTCCTCACTGGATGCAAACATGCTTTAATAGATGTAGATTTTAGTCAGCCACATTGTATGCATATTTTATGACAGAGTGATCGTACTAAAAAGGTTATATTCATTTCATGCACCAACTGGGCCTTACTTCTGCTCAATGGGCTCCAGGAGTTCAAGTGCAGGCTGATTTCCTTCTCTGGATCATTGGTTTCTACAGTAGTGCTTATTATAGCAATATATTTTCCCTGTGCAGCCAACATGAAATCATACACACATAGATATCTAGAATAAAAAACAAAACAAAACAAATATCATTTGAAGGGATTGCTATATAAATACAAGTGAACTAAACAATGACAAAATACATTTTCATCAAACTATTAGCAAACCCCAGGCCTCCACTTTAAAGCCAGTACAGGTCAGTTCACATGCTGTCAAGTAAATGTTAAATTCTTCTCCCTACTTGTGTACACTTATTCTCACCATCAATAAATATACAGTCATGGCCGAAATTGTTGGCACCCTTGATATTTCTCCAGGAAATCATGTATTTCTCACGAAACGTATTGCATTAACAAGTTTTGCTATACACATGTTTATTCCCTTTGTGTGTATTGGGACAAAACAAAAAAAGGGAGGAAAGAAAGCAAATTCGACATAATGTCACACAAAACCCTCCAAAAATGGGCTGGACAAAAGTATTGGCACCCTTTCACAACTGCGGATAAATAAGAATGTTACAAGCATGTGATGCTCCTGTAAACTCACCTGGGGCAAGTAACAGGTGTGGGCAATATAGAAATCACACCTGAAAGCAGATAAAAAGGAGAGACGTTCACTTAACCTTTGCATTGTGTGTCTGTCTGTGCCACACTAAGCATGGACAACAGAAAGAGAGACGAGAACTGTCTGAGGACCTGAGAACCAAAATTGTGGCAAAATATCAACAATCTCAAGGTTACAAGTCCATCTCCAGAGAACTAGATTTGCCTTTGTCCACAGTGCGCAACATTATCAAGAAGTTTGCAACCCATGGCACTGTAGCTAATCTCCCTGGTCGTGGACGGATGAGGAAAAAATTGATGAAAGATTGCAACGCAGAATAGTCCGGATGGTGGATAAGCAGCCCCAAACATGTTCCAAAGACATTCAAGCTGTCCTGCAGGCTCAGGGAGCATCAGTGTCAGCGCGAACTATCCGTCGACATTTAAATGAAATGAAACGCTATGGCAGGAGACCAGGAGGACCCCACTGCTGACACAGAGACATAAAAAAGCAAGACTACAGTTTGCCAAAATGTACTTGAGTAAGCCAAAAGCCTTCTGGGAAAACGTCTTGTGGACAGATGAGACCAAGATAGAGCTTTTCGGTAAAGCACATCATTCTACTGTTTACCGAACGGAATGAGGCCTACAAAGAACAAAACACAGTACCTACGGTAAAATATGGTGGAGGTTCAATGATGTTTTGGGGTTGTTTTGCTGCCTCTGGCACTGGGTGCCTTGACTGTGTGCAAGGCATCATGAAATCTGAGGATTACCAAAGGATTTTGGGTCGCACTGTAGGGCCCAGTGTCAGAAAGCTGGGTTTGCGTCCAAGATCCTGGGTCTTCCAGCAGGACAATGACCCCAAACATACGTCAAAAAGCACTCAGAAATGGATGGCAAAGAAGCGCTGGAGAGTTTGAAGTGGCCAGCAATGAGCCCAGATCTAAATCCCATTGAACACCTGTGGAGAGATCTTAAAATTGCTGTTGGGAAAAGGTGTCCTTCCAATAAGAGAGACCTGGAGCTGTTTGCAAAGGAAGAGTGGTCCAAAATTCCGGGTGAGAGGTGTCAGAAGCTTATTGATGGTTATAGGAAGCGACTGATTTCAGTTATGTTTTCCAAAGGGGTGCAACCAAATATTAAGTTAAGGGTGCCAATACTTTTGTCCAGCCCATTTTTGGGGTTTTGTGTGACATTATGTCATATTTGCTTTTCTGCCTCTGTTTTATATTTGTTCCAATACATACAAAGGGAATAAACATGTGTATAGCAAAACATGTGTTAATGCAATACCTTTTTTGTGTGAAATACTTGATTTTCAGGAAAAAATATCAAGGGTGCCAACAATTTCGGCCATGACTGTATATATATTTTTTAAATTGCCAACAGCTACTATGAACCTATTTGCAGAAATTATGAGCCAAATAGTAGTCTTGCTGCTCAGTTTTTGAATGATTCGACTCGTGTCATCTTCAGTATTTGTTTACTCTCATTCTGCCGTCTCTCAAGGATAAAGACTGAAGGCAGCCTGCCAGGTTTAAGTTAATACTTACAGTGATCAGCCCTTCCCTGCAATTATGCAGAAGTATAGAGGGTGACAAGTTAAAGGAGCAGGGTGGATCACTGTAAAGAACATGGGATGCCTAACTAAAAACACCTCAACACACAAAAACATGTGCCTTGTAGTGCACTACTTAATGTGGAAGAGCCCCGAGCCATTTTGTTTCAGCTAGCTACTAGGGCCAGTCTTTCCTGGACTTCATGGCTAAGCCTTGCCAAATCCAATTCTACTACCTATAAAAAGACTGTCTTGGGGCCAAGACACTCCAACTGCACTGGGAGATTTAGGCCCGTGTGTGACAGTAATAAACGACATAAATGAAGCAATAAAAAGTGTATTGATTCAAAACTAAAGTTTTGGAAAGGTTAGGGAGGTATCAAAACCCAATTGTGTTTTGCACAGAAGCCAACAGGAAGGGAGGGGAAATCCCTACAAAGTGAGGGCAATTCCTCAACCTGGATATACACATTTTCCCCCATTCAGCCACACAAATTAGGCGGATAGAGAAAAAAAAAAGCAAAACTGGTTTTGCATTCTAAGTTGCAAAATGGGTGGCAGAAGGCTTTCAGACTGGCTAAACAAAAAAAACTTACCTTAGCATCACTGGAGAGATGCAAGTGTTTTAGCACTTCTATCGGTTTTACTTATCTATCCCTGCAGGACTATTAAACGGGGTTGTAAAGGCTCAAGGTTTTTTTACCTTCATGCATTTCTATGCATGAAGGTGACAACTTTCTGTGTGCAGCAGCCCCCTAATACTTCCGTGAGCCCCTTCGCGATCCAACGATGTGCACGAGAGCCTTGGCTCTCCGGGGACTCTCCTTCACTGGCGGAGACTGCTGTCAATCACAGCCAGTAAGCCAATGAGGAAAGAGGGGGTGAGGCCAAGCCGCGGCTGTGTGAATGGACATGCACAGAAGTGGCTTAGGAGCAAGCCTGTATGGGTGGCCCCTTAGCAAGCTGCTTGCTCTGGGGACACTCAGCAGGGGGGAGGGGCCAGGAGCACCAGTGAGGGAACTGAGAAAATGAGAATCGGGGCTACTCTGTGTCAAACCACTTCACAGGGCAGGTAAGTATGACACGTTTTTTTTTTTTTTTTTGTTTTTTTTTTTTAAACATTTCCTTTAATATCACTTTAAGTTTTTCCAAAAAAATAACTATATTTTTCTAAATGCACTAGTGAAAAAAGTAACTTCTAGAAAAAAAAACTCACCAGATTTCCTGTTGACCTGGTTTTGAGGAATGATGATCTGGCAGGAGTTGGCATCATTTGTGTTCTTAATTGGGTGGCTTAGAATACAGATAACACGTATAACCTTCCCTACTTTAGTGACACGGTCTGCAACATAACTAGGGTCACAAATCAGCTGTTTGCATCTGGCAACCTGGAAGACAGAATATTAAGTAAAATTCATACCTTAAAATATATTTTTTCTTTTATAGTGTGCAGCACTAAATTATAGTTATGTGTATTAGAAAAGTCTTCCCCCACTGTTACCAAAATGTTTTTCACACACAGAGCACTTTATAGCACACTGTAGTCTCAGAGATGCTTTATCTTTTGACCATTACACTTCTATGCCAGCTTCAGAGCAGCAGACAGAGCAATAAAATGCAAAGTGGGGGAACTTTTACATCACATCTATATTTTATGTAATACAGGTACTTATATAGCGCCATCAATTTATGCAGCACTTTGCATATATATTGTACATTCACATTAGTCCACAACCCTCAAGGAGCGTATAATCTAAGGCCCCAAAATCACATTCATACATACACATACTAGGGCCAATTTAGACAGGATCCAATTAACCTACCAGCATGTCTTTGGCGTGCGGCAGGAAACCGGAGTACCCGGAGGAAACCCACGCAAGCACAGTAATCCTACATCATTACCCTTATCCGTGACAAACTATAGCACATATTTTCTCAATCCTTTTAGCATACAGAAAGCCATGAAAATAGTTTTTAGTAGTGAATCACTAAGACCTGAAAATTTTAAGAAAAAAAAAAAAAAAAATCAATAGTTCAGGTTGTAGATAAAATCATAAATAAAAGTGGTGTGCCGTAATGGTCAGAGGAAGCATAGCTCATCACATTAGGGTTCACCACATCAGTGTTCAGCATGACAAATGCTATCCTTCCAGATAGCTAAAAACGAGTCAATGGAGGTCACTTGTTACTTCCCTAAGAAACATTAGGATAACATCTACCAGTCCTATGAAGAGCTCTACCCAATAACATTGGTGCCAGAATTTGCAGACCCCTTCAAGCAATAGATGAATCTGCCACTGCCATTAAAGACCCCCACTGAATGTTCACGCTATCGCCTGATCTCTAATTAATGTGGATTTAAAAACGTATGCTAAATTGCTAGCAGAAAGACTGCAATTAGTTATCCCCTCTATAGTCAACTTAGACCAGGTTGGTTTCATCCCTATGCGTGAAGCACGGGACACTACTATTAAGATACAATCCCTTATTTCTCACTGCAGGCACAGAAGGTTCATCTGTCTTCTTTTGTTGGATGCTGAAAAAGAAATTCGATTGCCTTGATTGGACATTCCTGAAGGGAACATTGGAGCAAATTGGTCTATCGTTGGATTTCATCCATAAAATAATGGCCCTTTATTCCTGCCCAACAGCTTGGATTCAGGTGAATGGACTACTTTCAGATCCTGTACACATATCCAATGGGACCAGCCAGGTGTGTCCTCTTCTTCGCTTTTGTATATACTGGCAATGGAGCACTTGGCAACAGCTTTGAGCGCTAATGACTCATTACAAGGAGTAAAGATTGCTGGTAAGCAGTATAAGGCAAGTATATTTGCAGATGATCTTTTGCTCCATATTACTAACCCATTGATAGCTTTCCCTTCATTATTAAAAGGAATTGGAAATTTTTGACTCCCTCATTAATTTTAAAATTAATACATGAGAATCATATTGCCTAGACATTTTTCTTCCTGCAGAAACCCAAGGCATCCTTGCTAATACATTTGCTTTTCAATGGGCACAAGACTCCATTAAATATCTTGGTGTGCAGATAACCTAGCAATTTCACAAACTGTACAAGTTAAATTATCATCCGCTTTTGTCTTCTATGCAGCAACGTATTAGGAGCTGGTCTTCAATGCAACATTCCTGGATGGGACGAACGTCCCTCTTTAAGATGGATGTCCTTCCTAAACTTTGATATTTTTCAATCAACCCCAATCCGGGTCCCTCATTCATTTTTCCGATCGGCGAGCTCTTCACTACTCAAATATATATGGCATAGGTCCTTGGCTAGACTCCGATATGATATCTTGTGAAGAGGCGAGATGATGATGGTGCATGCCTGCACCACCTGGAATTATATTATGTAGCAGCTTTACTTCATAGAATCCTTGAATGGTTTCACAGCAGCCTCTGTAAACAGCGTGTTAACCTTGAATTGGACAAAGATCGTCTGCACATACCACAATTAATGCCTTTGTTCTGTTTTTTGCAAGTTTGAGAGAACTGCATTTTCACAGAACTGCCTTTCTTCGAGGCCAGGGCCCCTAAAACTGATACTGGGTAATCCAGGGTTTCCACCTGGACAGGCAGAAAAGGGCTTTCTATGTTGGCAACCTTCAGACCTATCCATTATTTTATCTATTATTTTATCTATTTTTTTTATCCTCTGCATTTACGAATCAGCCATTCTACATATGAGACCAGGAACGAAAACTAGAAATATCGGACCTGAAGACTTGGACAAAGCCTTTCTTCTTACATTCAAAATGACCCTAGCCTTCCAATTGCAGGAGAGAAATTACAAAATTATAACTAGATGGTATCACTGCCTGGCTTTATTAAACAAGATTATTCTAGTGTTTCTAGATCAATGTTGGAGATGTGGTGAGCTGGGTGACACCTAATTACATATGTGGTGGTCCTGCACAGCAATCAAACCATTTTGGTTAGCCATATTTCAGTTAAGCCATTTGGTTACAGGTAGGATCTGGCTGTAGACTCCAGAGGTAGCTCTTTTCTCAATAATTCCCGGGTCAATCAAAACAATTAAAAAAGCAGTACTTAGATTTCTGCTATTGTCAGGAAGGGCCCAGATTCCCAGGCATTGGAAATCCTCAACAATACTTACAATAAAGGGAATGGGTGGAGGAAGTAAACAACATTATGTGTGTGAAGTTAATAGCTACAACAAAATGACAATTATGCCATGTTTAGGGAAATATGGTCCCCCTGGGTCGAGTTTTCCATTTCTCCAAGACTACTGCCTTTTATGAGATAAGCTCAAGTTTCTTGTTGATTATCTTATTATGGAAAACGATGGCCTTGTTAGCAAACATTTTGCCATTGTACAAATATGTGCTTACTAGGAGCTGCAGGGCAGGTATATATGTACGTGTTATTACTTCTAACGCCTAGTGGATATAATGTAAATTTGGCAATGGACGTCAAGTGATTTTACTGCTGATATAGTGCCATACTCTTTAATCCTTTTATTAAAAAAAAAAAGAAAAAAAGGATTGATCTGCCACTGTTCTAGGAACCCCAAGCAACTTCTGTAGGAACCCAAGGGTTCCACAGAACCCTGGCAGAGAAAGGCTACTACAGCATATTAGTAAGATTTATTTGTTGAAAAGTAATTTCTGCAATAAACCCTATCATGCATAAGAGTTTTTACATTTATTCATGTTGCTGCATACATAAATAGTAGTGCTATGAATATGAGATTTGAGATTCAGAAACATTGTACATCTGATAGGGGGTAATGGCAGCTGACAAAGTCATCACTATAGCCAACAACTGTAATGTGGTTTTTGTTAGAATGCTTTAGAAAATGTTACATTTGCCAATTTTTAACTCAAATATGTTTACTGAATTTCTTGCAAAATGTCATCTCAGTAGGGAGTAGCTACCAGGATTTTCTGTCCAGGAACCTGACTGACTTGTAGATATCTGGAGTGAAACTGGGCAAAACAGAACTGCCTTCAGACTTGAGACTCATGTAAAAGTGGACTGTCAGACAACTCCTGGACTGGAGGGCTTAAATCAGAGACTGAAGGCTCAGTTTATGCCCAAACCACTGTTAGTGTGGCTTTAACTATCCAAACCTATCAGAAAGTCCACGCCCACCATTCCTTCCATAGGAGGTCATCTAAGTATACCAGAATCAGGATGCCATGAGGGTGCAGCAGGGCTAGCAAACCTTGAACACCCAAGCTGCAGATGAAAGGCCAAAAGGGCAGGGCCATGAACTGGTAGTTTAGAGGCCCCACAGAAAAAAAAAACACAACAAAAAAAAACCCTTTAGAAATATTGATGCGCTGAGAAAATTAAGACATAACGGTACGTGACCACAGAAGGCAGAAAATCTTCATGCATTTGAGCGTTCCTTCGAGTTTGGGAATGGTGGAAGGGATGGAGTAAAACCCTTGAGATGAGGACAGACAGCTCCTAGGCTTCTTCCTCTGAGGAAGAAGGATGCTTTTGCCACCAGTAGTACCCTTGATGATCGCATCAAGAGTCAGACCAAAAAAGCGCTGTCCTGCAAAGACTACGTGGATCAACCACTTTTTACAAAAAGGACTCTGCAGCCCAACATTTCACCTAAAATTTTCCTACACATGTGTACGGACCCATGCAAAAAAGGAGATGTGAAGCTTCACAACTGAAATTTTAAAAAGTTACAGCTGTGCGCACCACACATTCAAAATAATCAAGGGATCATATCACAGTAGTAGTGAAATTTCTTGAGGAATTTTGACCAGTCACACAATGACAAACTAAAGTCGCAGCTAGGACAGGGTGAAGGGTGGAGCCTGCCAGCAGGAACAGAGCTAAAGAAAGGGCTTTCAACCATTCACTGGTTGGGTCCTTAACTGCCTCCGGTATAGGGAAATGACAGATGGGTGGTGGGTCTCTTGATTTGGGAGGACGTCATATGACGCCCTCCCACTCTAGCTGCGCATGCATGGCCCCGGGGGGCGCTCTGTGTGGTATTCAGTGGTGCGCTGTGTCTGTAGGACACAGCAGATCGCAGTAAAGAGCCGATGACGTAGGCTCTACCAGGTGATCAGCGGTTTCCAATCACAGCTGATCACATGTAAACAAAAAATGCCAGATATCGGCAGTCCTCTCCTCACACTAACAGTGCACGAGGAAAGGCACTGATCAGTGCAGCCCAATCAGTGCCCATCACTGCCACATCAGTGCAGCTCATCAGCATACATCAGTGAAGGCGAAAAATAAACTTCTTTACAAAATCTTAGAACAGAAACTTTGTTTTCAAAATTGTCTTAGTTTGCTTAGCAAAAAATAAAAGAAAAAACAGTGGTGATTGAACAACCCCGAAAGCTCTGTCTCAAAAAAAAAAGATAAAAAGTTGGTTTTGGTACAGTGCTGCATGACCGCGCAATTGTCAAAGTACAACAGTGTTGAAAACTGAAAATTGTACTGGGCCAGAAGGGGGTGAAAGTGCCCAGTAGGCAAGTGGTTAACGGATAAATGTACTCTCTCTCTGATCACATCTTTCTGAAAAAGATTTCTTTGGCATGTATGAATGACCATTTTACCTTTGTCAAATGTGCATTGCACCATTTGTAACTTCTCAGGCTATAAAGCTTTGCAAATCTGTCTATAAAAAGGCCCCTCACTGGATTCAGTAATCAGGCATGAACTAAACTAAGATTTGTGCAATCGTATGGAAACTGTAACCATGCTAGATGTGCTAAACATTAAGCTATTAAACTGCATGCAGATATCTCTGCACCAATTTAAGAAGGAATAGAGGCATGGTGGCGTGCAGAGGAAGTAAGGAGTTGCCCTTCGGGAAGTGCATTTTCAAAGCTGAAGGTTCTACTACCCTCTGAATGTCAGATGAGGCTCGACAAGAGGCTGCTGGTAAACTGGGCTACGGTTTGAAAACATTGCTAGTCCCCTGGGGGAGGAATTTGAACAATTGGCTGCAAAACATAAAAAACACATGTAATTAGGACGGTTACATAAAAATACCCTACAAGTATATTTAAATCAACTGTGGGTAAAGCACACTAGTTTTTTTTTAAAGATAGACCTGTTTTCAACAGAAATAGTAAACACCCTTTCAGGGCAGGACACTGCCAGATGTATTATTATTAATATACAGGATTTATATAGCGCCAACAGTTTCCTCAGGGCTTTACAATATAACAGGTGACAAAACAGCAACAATACAGTTAAATACAAGAGGGTTAGGAGGGCCCTGCTCCTTGGAGCTTACAATCTAAAGAGGGAGAGGCTAGTGGTACAAAAGTTAGTAACTTTGGGGGATGGACTGGTAGGAGGAAGAGAAGATTCCATTATTAGCTGAAGGCGGGATAGGCTTCCCTGAAGAGAGGTTTTCAGAGATCGCCTAAAAGTGAGCAGAGTAGGCGATGGTCTGATAAATTGGGGTAGAGTTCCAGAGGATGGAGTAAGCTCTGGAGAAGTCCTGGAAAAAAGTATGGGAGGAGGAGACAAGGGAGCTAGAGAGCAGGAGGTCGTGCGAGAAGCGGAGAACATGGTTTGGGTGATATTTGGAGACAAGATTGGTGATGTAATTTGGAGTAGAGTTATAAATGGCTTTATATGTTATTGCTAATGTAGGCCAATGGGGAGGGAGTTACAATAGTCAAGGCGAGAGATAACCAGGGAGTGAATACGTTGCTTAGTAGTTTCCGAGGTTAAAAACAGCCGTATCTTAGAGATGTTGCGGAAGTCTACATGATTTGGACAGTGATTGGATTTGGGGCTGAAAAGACAGATGGGAGTCTAAGATTACACCAAGTACCCTGGCATGAGGGACTGATGGTTGTATTATTGGTCTTGATGGAGAGGTTATGGGAGGGGGCACAGGCTGGAGGGAATACCAAGAACTCCGTTTTGGAAAGAGTTCTAGGTAACGCTGAAGGAGCGCTGTGATAGGTAGGAGGAAAACCAGGAGAGAGCAGAGTCTCTGAGGCCAAGAGAGTGGAGTTTTTTGAGGAGGAGGGGATGGTCAACAGTATCAAAAGCCGCAGAGAGGTCAAGTAGTAAGAGTATGGAGTAGTGGCCATTGGTTTTAGCTGTTAGTAGATCATTAGTGAGTTTTAGTACAGCAGTTTCAGTGGAGTGGAGTGAGCGAAAGCCAGACTGTAAAGGGTCAAGAAGGTTGTTGTCAGTGAGGTAGGAGCTCAGGCGATTGTAGACTAAGCGTTCTAGGAGTTTAGAGGTAAACGGGAGCAGGGAGATGGGTCTTCAGTTGTTCAGGTTGGAGGCGTCCAGCGAGTGCTTTTTTTTTTTTTTTTAACTATGGGAGTGATGTGTGCATGCTTTAGAATGGTGGGGAAGGAACCATTAGAGAGGGAGAGATTGAAGAGGAGGGTGACCGTAGTAGTTGTGAGGGGACAGGATCCAGGGGGCACGTAGTGAGATGGGCTTCTGAGAAAACCTTTGTGATCTCTTTGGTTGTAGCAAGGTCAAAAGAGCAAAGTGTTGACGGAGGTTTAGTATAAGGTATGCTAAGTGGGATGGATGTCTGAAGATGTAATAATTTGGCGATTTTGGCCATAAAGTTTTGCAAGACTGCAGGTAAAAACACCCAAGCCAACAGTGCAAAGGATCTAGAAACAACAAAAAAAGGAGCAAAAAGGGATTCTGCTGATGTGACAGACACTAGGAGCAAAGGCCAAGATGACTCCAGGCAAACGAACCATTGAAAGTGACAATAAGCCTGGAGATCAGCTTTAAGGTTAATCCACTTACAATTTTGCCTTCTCCTGGTTCCTCCTTCCCCTTCAACATGTTAATGAAATGTTTTGAATAAAAACTTTTTTCATTACATACCTTATTTTAGGCCCAGTGATTTAATCACTGGGTCTTTGTGCTTCTCTATATAATGCAAGCAAAGCAGAACATGGTTAGTAGAAAAGGCTGTACATAGCTTCCTCAAAACTTCATAACACCCTGCATCAATACTCCTCTCAAAAACCCTCAGTTATGATGCAAGCAGTGGGAGGAGTTATGCAGATATGAAAACTGTCTTGATTGGTAGAGGTCTGTGGAGAAGTAGGCATTACTAGAGTTCCCTAAGTAATGCTCATATGTTGCTGAGCCTCCATGATTGAACAAACTCAAATTCAATGAATGAATATGGCAAGCAAGGGACAGTAAGACTTGGGAGGAAAAGTGCTAGATGATGCGGGATGCCCTGCAGCCAAGAGACTGCTCTGACTTGCGGCAGCTTCTAATTGCACACTGTGAAAGGTTTAGGTTATGTGGTTAAATAAGAATCTGCAATCATGCTACAGTAGAGAATCGTGTACAACTGTGCAAGACAAAGTAATGCTGGAGGTGAGCTTCAAGACAGACATCTGAAAAAAAGATGTCCATCCACCTAAGATTCTAGCAACTAAGGCATGCTGGTCGTGGGAGGAGGCACTCTCAGGCAGCCTACAGCTTTGTCTGCCAATGGCCAAGCTTCTAAAAAGGTGCTATACAACCCCAAAGGTTAAGGACTTGCTGTGTCTACTGACAAGTAAAGAAAAGCTGATTGTACAATGCTAACAAACGCCCTTTCAATAAAGTTGGTTAATAAAACGACCTGATGAATGGTATATAAAAAAAGGAAAGCCTACCTCTCCTTCCGATTTTACACCAACAATCCTTCCATTCTCCATAACCAACTCCTCGATTGGCTTGTTTAGCATATAAGTTCCTCCGTAAATGGCACTTAATCTGAAAAACAAGACAACCACAACATTTGTTGGTGGACAGCACTCCTGAATAGTCCTGCAGGTGTTTTCAGCTGGAACTTACCCAAACAATAAGCAATATAAAGAAAAAGCACAAAAACTGAAGCACTTCATCTTTTATTAAGGAATCATTAGTGATATACTTATTCTTTAGGTATTATTCAAAATAATGCTCTCAAAGTCTATTATCCTACATAGGATTTCTATGTAGAAACAATATTTCTGTATTGCCACAGATTAACCACTTGACTTGTGGAAGGATTTAAAACCCCTTCATGACTTGTGGAAGGTTTAAACCCCTTCATGACCGGAGCATGTTTTGCTATTCAGCACTGTGCTACTTACCTGGCAATTGCTCGGTTATGCAACACTGTACCTAAATGAAATTTAGGTCATTTTTTCACACAAACAGAGCTTTCATTTGAAGACAAAGGACGGTCACACCTAATATGGATTTGATTTGGATATTTCTTCTGTTCATTTACTTTCCATTTTGTTAATTGATAAAAATAAACTACTGACACTTCTATTTCTGAAAGCATTCCTAATTAACAGCACTTTTTCACAACTGCCTAAAACCTTTGCAGTGTGTACACACATCATACAAACACACATAGGAAAACTTGTAATATAAAAAAAATAATAAGGCTCACCACAACCCATTATGGCTTTTCATTTAACCCTTCACTACATTAACCATTTTCTTTTTAAATTTGGCACTTGCAATAAAATACACTGTTTGCATATGAAAAACACTCCCAAAGCATTATATATGTTCTAAAATCAGACACTAAAAATAAATGGTGGTAGTTTCAATATATGACTTAAGATTGTTGTACCATTAAGCAGATCCATATTTTTAGCAAAAAAAGAACACTCAATTTTAATACTCGCAAACAATACAAACCCCACTTTTTAGGAAGAAAAAAAAGAAGACGATTGTGTAGAGTAAATAGATACCAAAATGCATCAATACCCAAAATTGCATGCCCCTGAAAAGCAATGAAAAATGTACTAAAAATTGTCCACAGGTAACCCCTTTACAGATTGCCAATTTAGAGTTAACTGTAAATATTTGGTTCTATAATCATAGCCATCATTCTGGCCTGCATGGTGATACCCATTATACTAGGGACAATCATTGTTTTAGAACATTGGAGCACCAAATGCATGAGTTTGCCTTTTTATGTGGTTGTGAAAAATTTTTAGGTTTCAACTTTATTTGTACAAAAAGGGGTTCACCAGCCCCATGTGTGATAGCATAGTGCAGATGTCAGGTTATTAGGGATAGATCATATCATCTGTGTTAAAAGTCTGGACTGTGCTCGATCAAATTCTTCACTGGCCAAAGCCATAGGGGTCTGAGAGCTCTGAACCACTTCTGTGTTCATAATAACCATAGGAAATCAGAGAAAGAGCACAGAGGTGTGATTACCTGGCAATAAGCTTCTACTACTTAGCCTGCAAAAAAAAGAAAAAAAAGAACTAAAAACTCACACTCCCAGCTGCTATTTGGTTACATTCTGGCTCTGCCATTGCCGCAATAGTTATGGCCAAGGCAGCAAATGACTGCAATCAGATTTTTTTCCATCCAAAAGAACAGAAGTAGAACCCAATATATAATCTTAGATGTCTGCAATAGTAAACTAGAGAAGTAATCACTTCCTTACCTTGCAAAACCTTGTGGCAGCTCTCCAAGGCCATAGAGTGGATAAAGGTAAGGGCTTTTGCCATATCGTGCAAGGGATTCACTGTAAAGCTTAATCCTGTTTATAGTCTCAAGACAGGGCTGTGTGAGATACCTAGCCAAAAAAAAAAAAAAAAAAGTTAATCAATGTGCATGAACAAATATGTGTTGGAAACATTTTAGTGTTGAAATAAGGCAACAACATATCTAGCCTAAATGTGCGAATATCAGGGACTAGTTTAGGAATCACTCTGTGCACCAAATGTCTGCATACAGTTATGACCTTGTAAAAGTAGCAGTGACATCACTGCTGTATATAGCCTGTACAGAAAGCAGAGCTGTGGGAGGGTCCAGCAGGCACTATCCACTACATGCCGTCTGCAAAAAACTACAGGAGGGGGCAGAGCCCAGATCAGTCACTCTGCACAAGGAGAGAGGGCAGCAGTGACTGGTCTTCACTACAGAAAACTCCTGGACATAAACAAGCTTTCACACTGAATTACTGCACAACTTTTGAAGAAATACGTAAAGCACATCAAGATTCAAGTTTGAATACACTTGCATTCAGCTTTAGTGTTTTGTATAGCCAAAAGGTTTTATTCAGGATTAGAAATCAGGTGTGTGTGTAGTGTGTGTGTATAGGTGTGTGTGTGGGTGTGTAGGTGTGCGCGCGCGCGCGCATCTCCTGCTGTGCAGATTTCCCTCCGCATCCTGTCCTAGAGATGCAACAGAAATTGGAAAATTTTTTCTATAAAATGAGCATTTCTATCAGACAGTTGTCAATGTAACAGATGATACAAAAGAAAAATTTAAGATGGCCATACACTGATGGAAATCCAGCCAGTTCAGGCAAATTTCAATCAGTGTGTGGAAATCTCTGCTTGACAGAAGTCGATTGAAAAAAAAAAAAAAAAAAAAAAAAAAAAAGAAAAGAAAAAGTTCTCAGTGTAATCTGACAGGGGGACTCCTCTAGGCACCTTGTTTAAGTGCACAAAGGAAACCATTGGCTAAAAAAAACCACACACAGTGTATAGCCAGCTTTACTCTAACCTCTTGTTCTGGCTACAGATGCAGAATTTTTGATTTCTTATCACTTTCAAATTTTAATGACAATGGTCTGCAGGTTAATTAGAGCGGGTACATCTATCTAGCAGTGGTATCAAAAAACTGACAGGATTTCCAAACATCCCAATCATCAAAAACAAAAGCTGGCAATAGATTCCTCCATCCACACAAGCAAGGCATCCCACTCAGACAATGCGTTTTGATTGTGTGATTCTCTGTTGTCAGTATGTACTACTCAGTGGCTGTAGCCACAGATTAACAAAAGCTTTCCAACAATCAACTTCTGCCAAACAGGGACATCCATACATGGAAGAAATTCATCCGGTCCCTGCTGAACCAGCCAAATTTCAATCCATCAATGGTCTACGTTAGAAAACTCTCTTGGGTATGCACATATGTTAAACCACTTACCGTCTGCCCAGAGCACTTTTACTGTGGGTAGCCAGCATGTACAGGCAAAGCAACGTAACTATAAGTTATTTTTCCTGTACTGACACTGTCTACAGCAGAATGCATATCCAGGTACTCAGGACCTGGTGGACAGTGTCGGTACAAGCACTCGGTGATTATGTGATCGCTATGCAATCACATGATCACAATGTCAACAAAGCTGTCATAAATTAATTTAATTGATAATAGCTTTGCTTCTGGTATGAGTGAGCTGTGCTTAGCCCACTGCTATCACATGGTACCTGGGCCAATCACAGCACCTTGTGATTAGCTGTAGCTAATCATAGATCACTAGTATTCAGAGCTGTCATGAACTTAACCATTCATGACAGTTCAAAGCCTTGCTGGTACAATGATTTTCATTGTACCAGCAATCAAGTGAAAATAAATAAATATTCCTGATCACGCCCCCCAGAGTAAACATTATGTAACAGTGAATTCCAAAAACAACCTCCTGCGCTTAAATGGAATCCTATCCTTCAAAAGCTACCAACACCAAACTTATACCCAAGTAAGTGAATGATCAATTAAAATAAATAGTGTAGCGCTAATACTACTAACAATTACGTGTTAAAATGCACAAACTCTATATACATCCCCTACATATATATATCCAAAGTGATGAATCAATACATAAATAGTAAAATAACTGTCATACGTGAATTCCCTCACGGGGAATATTTAGTGAAAAAAGTGACAAACAAACACACTCCTATTTGCACATTGTGAAACAATATGTATACTGGTGCACAAAATTAGTGAATAATCAAATCAAAAAAGTCCAAAATGATATAATAATAATAATAATAATAAGATAATTTGTGGTAATCCTCACACTTCACTCTTCATGCAAGAATATATAATGTGTCGTATACGTGGTACACACGTGCCAATCCTTTACCAGCCAAAATACCCCCTCACCTCCTTCATTAGCCCCCACAGTACACCCATAGCATGTGGTAAAAAGCTGGAAAACTCGTGGGCAAATGTGAGTGTAATACTTGTCGTTTTAAATTTGATGCAATAAAAACCGGTTGCACTATGGAGGGTCTCTGCTTGTGTCTTATCATGATTCTGTGATGAGCTGGCTGTTAGTCTGTTGGAGGCTGGAGACGTGAGGGGAAAGCCTGAGAGGGACCCATTCTGATAGGATCACTTGATCCTCAAAGCGTGTTGACCCTGTGGGGTCTAATGAAGGAGGTGAGGGGGTATTTTGGCTGGTAAAGGATTAGCACGTGTGTACCATGTATACAGGCACATTAAATATTCTTGCATGAAGAGTGAAGTGTGAGGATCACCACAAATTATCGTATTATTATTATATCATTTTGGACTTTTTTGAATTGATTATTTGTTCACTAATTTTATGCACCAGTATACATATTGTTTCACAATGTGCAAATAGGAGTGTGTCTGTCACTTTTTTCACTAAATATTCCCCGTGAGGGAATTCACGTATGACACAGTTATTTTACTATTTATGTATTGATTCATCACCTTGGATATATATATGTAGGGGATGTATATAGAGTTTGTGCATTTTAACACGTAATGGTTAGTATTATTAGCACTACACTATTTATTTTAATTGATCATTCACTTACTTGGGTATAAGTTTGGTGTTGGTAGCTTTTTTCCTGAACAGAGGTTCAGGAGTGTGCCTGCTCGGGTGCCGCATTACCGAATGGCAAAAAAAAATTCCTGGTCATGAAGGAGGTAAATCTTACGGAGCTGAAGAGGTTAAAGGAGAGAATCCAGGAAAAAAAGTAGTAGTCATCACTCAGTCAACACAATTAAAATAATTCAGGACAACTGAGCTCTTTATTGGTTATAGGTCACAACAAACTTATTGGAATTGTAAAAAAGAAGCGAGTCTGGCATGTACCGAGACAAATTCTGATGTTACCTCCCGGTTTTGTCTTCTGAACCTATGTATATGTGCTCTCTGTGGAGAACACGCCCCGTTGAGTCAGAGCCCTATATTAACAAGGAGCATGAGCTCTGCTGATTACAGCGTTATAGGTCTGATTCAGTAGGGGTGGTTTTGGCATGGAGGCCATTTCCACATTGACAGTACTCTGCAGCTGCCTCTGGTAGGGGACAGGCTTTTCTGCTCAAGCTGTGACTTCTTTAGAAATAAAATGAACTGTAAGATATTGAACACCCTTTGTTTTTTGTTAGTTAATCCAAAAGGGAGAATTGGATCGAGCTTTATATTTCTAACATAGGTCTGAATTTGGTTGGTGGCTTTAAAAGAGGAGTTCTGAATGGTGGCGCAGGTTTCAAAAGAAGCAAACCTATATACTTGCCTAGGTGGATGCAGCATTGGTCCAATGCTGCATCCATCTCCCACAGCCTCCAAGACAGAGAAATGAACAATCAAAGACCTCTGATCGCTCAGTACTCTGTCTTCAGTCTGCTCTGCCCCTCCAGTGCTCACTGGAGCACCAGGCTGTTGAGGGGGCAGAAGCGGCTAGGTCAGGCTCTCTTGCGGCTTGCTGAGAGGCTGAGGCAGCTGCCAGTCCAGGTATCTGAGTGGATTCCACACTTTAGCCCGCTATCAGCTGAAAAATGGGTGACAGAAGTGCACTCCTGTGAATCATAGAAGTAGTAGGACCATACTTCTCCCTTTAGAATCTGCATTTTACCCTGGGAAAGTAAAGAAGAATGAGAACCACAGCAAATATGCACAAAGACTGTTAGTGGATATAAAATATGTTTACCACTTAACCGTTTCAATACCGGGCAATTTTACACCTTCCTGCCCAGGCCATATTTCAGGTTTCAGCGCTCTCACACTTTGAATGACAATTGTGCGGTCATACAACATTGTACCCAAACTAAAATTTTATTATTTTCTTCACACAACTAGAGCTTTCTTTTGGTGGTATTTAATCACCACTGGGGTTTTTATTTTTTGCTAAATAAACAAAAAAAAGACCAAAAATTTTGAAAAAAAAAAAAAATTTTTCTTTGTTTCTGTTATAAAAGTTTACAAGTAAATAATTGTTCTTCATAAATTTAGGCCGAGATGTATTCTGCTACATGTCTTTGGTGAAAATAACCCAAATTAGGATGTATTTTTTAGTTTTTAGGAAAGTTATAGAGTTCACAAACTATGGTATAGATCTGAAAATTGATCAATCCTGAAGTACTGACGTAAAAAAAACAAAACCTCAGCGCTCAGGACTGCCTATTTACCATACAAATCCCCGTGAGATGCTGCTGTGCACAGGTACAAAAGACCAAAAACTTTTAACAATGAAAACCAGCGCAAACCCACATGATCAATTACATTACTCAGTTTAAAAAAACCTTAATGTGCTAATAAAGATATATATAGTAAATTATATATAAAAATATATTGATAAAAAAATATATATAAAAAATTTTTAAAATTATAAGTCCAGTGACAAAAAAGCAAAGTGACAAAAAATCAAAAAAAAAAAAACCCCAGAATATATATATATATATATATCTATATCAAGGTCTTGATAACGCCCTGTGGGTGGGGCGAAACGCGTTGACGCACTTCCGGTTGCCTCTGGTCCGTCGTCTGACGTCATTTCCGGTGAGTGGAGCGCACGCCGAGCGGTGCGTTCCAAGGGGCCATCTTAGCCTAAGTAGAAGAGTCTGTAGCTGAGGTCTGCCATCCTGCTGCACACTAAACTGTGGGGTCCTTATATAATCGGTGTACATGAAAAGTGGATCATTTTTGAAGAGATCGCTGTTGTTTTGAATAAAAAGTGGGCTATATCCCGCAAAAGAATGTGAGTGGTCTGGAGAGATTAATTAGAGGAGAAGTTACTGCGGGTATCACGCTATGGTCTTTTCTTCTTCCTGATTTTCCTTTGGGGGGATTCGGTGAGAGGAGTAAGCAGAAGAGGTACCTAGACATAAGAGGAAACAGCACTTGGAGGTCTCAGACAAAGTAAAGGGGGTCCAGGAGCCCTTAACAATCCTGAAAGGCGTGTGACTCACCATTATCTGGTGAGTGCGGTTATGTTGATTTCTGCACTGGTGGATGGTGAAGGGATCAGTAACACGGAAGAATCAAATGGAAAATATATTCTAATTTAATTTGATTTAATTTTTTGTCACGGGACTGTAATTATATATATATATATAATATATATATTATATATATATATATATATATATATAAAATATATATATATATATAATATTTTTCTGGGGTTTTTTTTTTTTTTTTTTTTTTGATTTTTTTTGATTTTTTGTCACTTTGCTTTTTTGTCACTGGACTAATAATTTTAAATTTTTATATATATTTTTTTATCAATATATTTTATATAAAATTTACTATATATATATCTTTATTAGCACATTAAGGTTTTTTTAAACTGAGTAATGTAATTGATCATGTGGGTTTGCGCTGGTTTTCATTGTTTGAAGTACTGACGGCCAATCTAATTTCTTGAGGTCCAAGAATGTCAGAATAGTACAGATATCCCCAAATGACCCCTTTTTGCAGAGTAGACAGTCCGACGCACTTCATAAGAGGCATGGCGAGTTTTCTGAAGTTGTAATTTTTTGTCATAATTTTTCGGAAAATGAAAAAAATTATTTTCACTATTTTTTTTTTTTTTACATACTGTCACCAGTGCAGTACAGCGTCATCATATAACTGGCATGGCGGTGAACAGGGACACTGACTGATGACAGTATGAAAAAAAAATATATATATATTTTTTTTTTATATTTAATTTTTTTATTACATTTTTTTTTTTTTTTTTTAAGATTTTTTTTCATATTTTACTATGACCAAAATAGTACAATGTTACCATAGTAACATTGTACTACTTTGGGGAAGTGATCAGTATTTTTTTTTTTTTTTTTTTTTTTTTTTTTTTTTACACAATTTGCTTATAGCAAAGAATTACTTTGCTATAAGCTAGCATTTACCTGAATGAAATCGATTCATTCAGCTTTTTTTTTTTTTTTTTTGTGTGCTTAGCTGTGATTTGGTCACAGCTAATCACATGACATGTGCATGTGATTAGCTGTGACCATTCACAGCTAGGCACTAGTATACAATGGATGGCATCATGAATGAAGCCATCCATTGTATACAACTGTCATGTGACCTGCTGTGATTGGTCACAGCAGGTCACATGGTACCAGCAACGGGAGCCGGTACTCGGATCTGTCATCGGCCGTGTCCGAGGTGCGCGGCCGATGACAGATCGCACTGCTGCGCCGCTCTGCACTAGCGCAAACGGCGCATGTGCGGGAGCACGCCAAATGGCGTGCACCCGGAATGCAGATACACATCTGAAGCCGCCAAACTGTCATTGGTCCGGGCGGTTAATGGTTAAAGACCTAGCTGGGATAGAACATTGATTAGTTCAAAAGGTGTAAAATAATTTTTTTTTTTTACGCAACACTCATTCCAGCCTACAAGCTTAAATCTTGGTTAAGCAAGGAAAATATGCCTACAAAATATTTAACTGAAATAAGGCCGTGCCAGAACAAGAAAAAAAAAAAAAAAACCTCACTCATCAGTCCTGTACAGAGCCAGAGCATGGCCTGTGAAGTCAACGACATCCTGGCCCAAGTCAAACTTCTTGTAAACCTCTTGCATGGTTGTTTTTTTAGGATCGACTCCTTCCATTGTTTTCGGATCATTTTCATCATAATTTGCAACAAAGCCAAGGAACTTCTTAAATCTCCTCTTCTCAAACAAGCCCATCAAACCTTAAATAGCATTATAAAACCGTTAAGACATACAGCAAACAAGTACACTGACATAACTATAACTAGGAACTACCAAAGAATAAAAATTAATCTTGAACACACAATTTTAGTGACTGGTAGAATGCCTTAAGGCTGGTATACATAAATATAAATTAAAAAAAAAAAAAAAAATCCGCTGGAACCAGCCAGACTTCTCTCTGTCTGTACCACTGTCTAACTGCTGCCATCCGTCAGAACAGTCGTGATGAAAAAACTAACATGCAGCCAATGGCCGCAGAACTGATCAGTGTATTTAGCGGGGGAGTGCACGCTGTCCGGATACAATAGTGCAGCAGGAAAGATCCCTGCATCCACATAGCTTGTGTGGATGAGGGAAATCTGTCAGATTTGTTTTGTTCAACAAGCTCGTTAAATTATATATATATAAAAAAAAAAAAAATCCTGTGTAGATTCCTGCTTTACTCTTAGCTGAAATAAAAGATACTCACTGGATGCCAGAGCCTCTGCTTCTGTTGAAGGAACCTTGTAGATCTTTCCCCCCTTGTAGACAAAACTGCCTTCAATTACTTTGAAATCCAGATAGCGTGTAACTTCCGTAAATAGCAGCATTTTTACCAACTGACCTAAAAAACAAACAAAAAACACTGAAACGCTATTAGGGCATTATTAGTATAAAAAGTTACATATCTAAGGCACAACTCTAGACAACAGGTGGTTCCAAGTTTTGGATAAAAAGTTTTTAAAAAGTTGAGTTGCTGTCAGTGTCCCCATCAGGTACATATCTGTAATAAAGCAAGGTGTCAACAGATGAGAAAGTAAGAGAAAGCTCCACAAAAAGGAACTCGGAAAGCATTTAAAAATTAATGGAATAGGTAAGAGTCCAAGCCTTCCAAGGATTGAAGTTGGACTTTAAAACAACTGGAAGCTAAAATGAGCTCTAATAAAGTATCATATGGTATGAAAACTAAACCTAAACTAGTAAAATGGGTCCAAATCAAAATCGAGCCACACACCTTCAAACATCATAGGTTTTTCATATAATCATCTACAAACCTTGGTTTTCTAGTATGAAGACTCAAATATCAGTAAATAGGCATCTTAAAAACTGTGTAATTTGAAGTTAAGAGATCCTGTAACCAGAAAGAAGATGCAGTGTCCATGTCTAACTGCTGAAATAACACATGCAAGGCCAGGGCCAGATTTACCATTAAAACATATTAGGCATGTGCTTATAAGCAACAGAGGCAAAAAGTTTTCTTTCCCTGTATAGCTAGCAATGCATTTCCACCACTCCCCCTTCATTAACTAAATAGGTTATTGCAATCAGATCAGGACCAGTGAGACAAGAAAATGTTCTGTGTAATAGGAGGTGCTTCCAGCAGAGGAATGCTTCTGACTCCATAAGTTGTGTACTTCCAGGCTCTAGTGTCAGAAATCCAGCCTTGTTTTGGGACAGATACTGGACTGTAAGAAAACCCACTTTCACAAGGTTTTAACCGAACTGAGTTCAGCATTTAACAAAAACATCTGTGGGAGCAAAAAAATGTGCTCTGTGTCTCCCATAAGAAGAAATCTGGGTGAAAAACAGCATTATGGCACACTATAGCTGGCCACACACACACTAGCAAAATTTTTGAATGAACATTTGTACAAAAATTTACATCAGTACATTGCATGACTTGACAAGTCATTTTGAAAATACTTCAAAATCAAATGTTAAAAGCGAGCATTTTTTTTTTTTTTTTTGGAGAGTGAAAAAAAAAAAAATTTCCCAAACAAAACTTGCTTTCACTTTTCAGAAAAAAAATGTCCATCCTGCTCCTTTGTCGCTGTGATTGAAAACTAAAATCAGTGACACCACTAATGATTACAAAAATTTAAAGTTTGGGTTTCTGAAAAAAAAAGAAAAAAAAAAAAAAAAAAAAAAACACCCAAATTCACCTAGGTGGGTGCAGCATTAGTTAGATGCTGCATCGTATCCCCTTTTGCTTCTAAGGCTGAAAACGGAGCAAAGATCGCTGATCGCTCGGTTCCCAGTCTTCACCGATCAGAGAGCTGGCTCTGCCCAAGAAAACCCCCTGCCTGTGGAGGGGGTGGAGTGCATGGCTCAGGCTTTCAGCAGCTCACAGAGAGGCTGTTTCATCTGCAGTTGTAGGTATCCGGGTGGATTCGACTGTAAATTCAGGATTGATCCAGAGCCTGGACCAGCTGAACTTCAGCAGGGAGCAGCCCAATGTTTGCTAAAAATGGGTCACAGGAGTGCAGAATAACCCTCACTCCTTTGATTTACATGAGACGTACAGCCAAAAAGCTTTGGCCATACTTCACCTTTAACAATGAAATTTCAGCAGTTGCTCTTAACATCACTGAATAGCAAGAGGCATAAAGCTATCATGGGGATAAATGTTTCCTGTGACTACAGTGAGAGAATTCAGCATGTATAAATTTCAGTTGGCTGTAAATGGACTGCCAAGAGGGTTGGTGAAACAAAAATATGCTTCACAATCCAATTTCTTGGTGTCTGTATAGATATCTACCCAGAACCAATTCATCTGCATATGAACTGCTGCTGAACTAACTGGAGAATTACCACTGTTAAGCTAATCTATCAGTCATAAAAGGTTTCTAAGAAGATAAACTGCTTCTTACCCCCAGCCATAAGAAATTTAGGAACCAGATCCACATTCCAGTCTCGTCCCCGTCCCATTGACTCTGGAGGGCTTCCAGGGATGTTAAACCTTTTGTACAACTAACAGTTAAAATAAAATTAATATTGTGGACATGGGAAAAAAAAGAAAAAAAAAAAAAAAAAAAAAGACTATTTTATATAACTTTAGTCATTAAAAGTGTATGTGGAAAAAAAACAAAAACACACACACACACACACACACACACACACACACGATAAATGGCCTAAAAATAAAGTGTGCACTTTTTTTTTTATTTTTCCCAGGCGCTTGCAAAGTATTGCACCCTTGATCAGTGTATCATGGGTGCAATGCCATGCTCCTGCAGACTTTCCTCCAGCTCTCTGCCAACATGGGCTGTTACTAAGCTGGAGGAAGTGTCAATGGACTACAAATGCTGTGATTACTGTGCAGGTGTTTGAGAATTACAAATTTGTCCGCCATGGTGTCAGACAGGACATCAATCATTCACAGCGTTCATTTGCACCTCAAAATACAGGTGTAAAATGGTACAAAAAAAGTTGGCCATTAATGATTTTTTTTCAGTGCAATATTAACAAATAAACCAACACTCTCTACCAAAGTAATGTTAAAGTTGGCAAATATCCTAGGTCACACGAGTCCCTTTGACTATGTGGAGCACTGATAAATTTGCTAAACACATTTTTTGTGTTGAAAAAAAAAGTTGTCTTACATCTTCCAGTGGTGTGATGGAAGCACTCTCTCCCCCCGTAATAAGAATTGCGATCCATATGTAACACCTTCTTGCCATTTACAGACATTATTCCTGACAGGATGCATTCCTACAGAGAACAAGACACAGGTAATGATTAAAAACAGAGTAAAGCATTAAAAAAAGGTTCGTAGCATAGCTCAAAATTCTGTACAAACAGTACAAAATAAAGCATGGAAATATTTTACCTCCGACGTTTTAGATGATAAGCGAATCAGTAAACAGCAGATTAGTTGGAGTGTTTATGATTTGTAAGCACCAATAGGTAGGTGTAAAAAGTCAGCAGGAGACACAATATCACCTTCTAATTAAAGGGCCAAACTAATGCCAAAAAGAGATGGCCTAGCAAGGTGGTTTAGGTTCATAGTCTGACCAAGATAGCTTAATTGCCATTTAATAAACATTTCGAAAACTAGTAATTATAAGATCAAAATGCAAAACTAAAGACCTGAATGATTATGAAGGTCAACTGATGTCAAATAAAAAAAAAAAAAAAAAAAAAAAATTACACACACACCTAAAAATAATTAAAAGGAACACTTTTTAATCAGAGTATAGCATCAAGTCGATTAAACTCCTGGGATATTGATCGGGTCAATTAAGTAGCAGAGGGGGTTGTTATTAATTTCATTAACACCAAAGCAGCTGAAACTGATTAACAGGTGCACTACATGGGCAACAATGAGACGACCCCCAAAACAGGAATGGTTTTGCAGGTGGAAGCCACTGACTTTTTTTCCCTACTCATCTTTTCTGTTTGACCCTAGCCAAATGCAAAACTAGTGAAAGTGTCATTCTGGTAGCATGAGGCGATACCTTACCTGGACCCTACAGAGGTTGCACACGGCAGTCCAACTTCTCCAGGATGCCCATCAAACGTGCCATTGTCAGGTTTGCCATGTCTCAAGAGCATGGAGGAGGTTCCAGGAGACAGGCAGTTACTCTAGGAGAGCTGGACAGGGCCCTAGAAGGTCCTTAACCCATCAGCAGGACCGGTATCTGTTCCTTTATGCAAGGAGGAACAGGCTGAGCACTGCCAGAGCCCTACAAAATGACCTCCAGCAGGCCACTGGTGTGAATGTCTCTGACCAAACAATCAGAAACAGACTTCATGAGGGTGGCCTGAGAGCCTGACGTCCTCTAGTGGGCCCTGTGCTCACTGCCCGGCACCATAGAGCTTGATTGGCATTTACCATTGAACACCAGAACTGGCAGGTCCGCCACCGGCACCCTGTGCTTTTCACAGATGAGAGCAGGTTCACAGTGAGCACATGTGACAGACGTGAAAAGGTCTGGAGAAGCCATGGAGAATGTTATGTTGCCTGTAACATCGTTCAGCATGACCATTTTAGTGGAGGGTCAGAATGGTCTGGGGAGGCATATCCATAGAGGGACACACAGACCTCTACAGGCTAGACCAGTGGTCGGCAAGCCGCGGCTCGCGAGCCACATGCGGCTCTTTACACGCTTTAATGCGGCTCTTGTGTGCCGGGCGCCCGCTCCCCTCCCTCCTCTCGGGCGGCAGGGACTCTGCAGCGTGATCCAAAAAAAAAAAAACAGCCAGGGCAGCGCGCTCAAATGCAATGATTGGCCAGTCTCGCTGCCACTCACATCCTGATAGCCAGTGATTGGCTGTCAGGATGTGTGTAGGCGGGGCAGCGTGACGAACGTGAGAGGAGCTAGGCTCCTCTCACAGTCCGCCCTGAAGACTGGAACGGCGCGGGAACACGGCGAGAGGAACGCGCGGAGCAAAGGTAAGTGAACTGACACAGGGGGGACTTGGCTTACTACTTGCTACTTACTTACTACTACTATATGAGGGATGAATTACTATATGGGGATGAATTACTATATGGGGGATGAATTACTATAAAAACTTATTAAAACTAAAAACAGTGTACCATCCTATGTATTTTCAGTTTTAAAAATGTGGCTCTCAAAATAAATTTTGATCGTGGTTTTGGCGAGATTTGGCTCAGTTGAAAAAAAAAAGGTTGCCCACCACTGGGCTAGACAATGGCACCCTAACTGCCATTAGGTATTGGGAGGAAATCCTTGGACCCATTGTCAGACCCTATGCCGGTACAGTGGGTCCAGGGTTCCTCCAGGTGCACAACAATGCCTGGACTCATGTGGCGAGAGTATGCAGGCAGTTCCTGGAGGATGAAGGAATTGATACAATTGAAATGACCCCCTTGCTCGTCTGACCTAAATCCAATAGAACATGTTTCGGTCCATCCATTGCTGCCAGGTTGAACATCAGACTGTCCAGGAGCTCAGTGATGCCCTGGTCCAGATCTGGGAGGAAATACCTCAGGACACCATCCATTGTCTCATTAGGAGCATGCCCCGACATTGTCAGGCATGCAGAGCATACAAGCACGAAGGGGACCATTTTGAGTTGCTGCATATGAAATTTCAGCAAAAAGGGACTAGCCTGCTGCATAATTTTCTTCACTTTGATTTACGGAGTGTCTTTGAATTCAGTCCTCTGTAGGTTGATACATTTTCATCTCCATCAAACGATGGGGCATCCTTACGTTCCTAACACATTACCCAGTCCATATCAGTATACTGTGGATATCCAGCATTATATTTTTTTAAATTGGAGATCTGATGTGTTTTCAAAGTGTTCCTTTAATTTTTTCAGACACACACTAAAATTTTCTAACTGCAAAAACTGTGCATTATTTTTGGTCAAAAGTTGAACTTATTCTTTGAGAATATTAAAATGGGGGGGGGGGGGGGGGGGGGGGGGGGGGGGGGGTGGGGGGGGGGAAGAATGACCAAGAAAACCTATTTATACTCGCCTAGATGGATGCAGAATCTGTTCCCTTCCACCACAAAGATGGAAAACTGAGTGATCAAAGATAGCCGATTACTCAGTTCTCAGTCTTCAGTGAGCAGAGTGCTGACTTACCATCACCTGCTCTGCCCCTCTGGTGCTTTAGTGAACAGAATAGAATACCTAACTTATTGGATAAAATTCAAAATGAAGTTCTGTCAAGTAAACAGACACCTACTATGCTAAACTTAACTGTACATGCCCGTGAAACAGCAAAAAACAAATGGTACAATGATATATTGTCCATAGGGGACAATTTAAAAGCCCTTGCAGCTCATCAATTTAGAGTTAGTCATGAATGATGTCCCTTGAATTATTGATCTCTGGTATGTGCTGCAATGCTCAATATATATGGTTCAATTGTCATTTGTCTATGTGTGCACACCCAACGCATGCATTCCTATGTGCATGCTTGTGTAGGTGGTGGGCTGTTATTTTTTTGGGGTGTATTTAAAGTTTTTAAATTTAAAAATTACTGCTATACCAAAAAGTCTGACAAGCCTCCCGATGTGATAGCTTAGTGCAGGTGACCAGTTCTATTCATTCATTTGAATGGCCTCCCCGTGCCCTGGGACACACAGGGTAGAAGTCCCTGCACTTCTTCGGAAATCGCAGCCCGCACGGGAACCGAGGTTCCCAGGGTGGTTGTGATTTCTAGTGTGGGCAGCGTGCCATTAGAATGGCACCTGCTCGCGGGTCCCGCATTCCTCTGTGTGGGTGGTGCGGCTGCAGGTATTTGTGTTGTGGGTCCCGCAGCGACACCACCCACACAAATGTGAATCAAGCTTTAGGGTGACAACTCTAGTGCTGCATGCAAAGTAACGAAAGTCAGTGTTGTCACCCTTAGACAGGAAATGCTGGGAGCAAGTTTTAAACTTTTTGTACCGAGTGAAAAAGAAAAAAAGGTAGGTGTATGACAAAGTAGTGATGATAGCATTTTTTTTTCCATTTGAATGAGTGTATGCTAAAGTAAGTAGGTATCTGTGATACATATGTGACATGAGTGTATAGGATGTATGGATGAGGAGTGATTGACACTCACTGTCATAATGCTAACGATTATAACCATTAGATAGGTAACTGGAGTTCAAAACAACAAGTTGGAAGTGTACATTAAACAGGATAAAACCAGAGATATGGACTGATATTCACTAGATGTGCATTCTATCAAAATATGCAACTACACATGACGGCACGAGCCGATCACAATATCCGCGCTTGACTAACTACTACACAGAATCATACATGTTATATAACCAGAAGATACTGCGCATGGCAGTAGATAAGGACATTCCAAATTATGTATATAAAAGAAGGGGGATTCTAGGGGAATTTGGGACTCACTGAAGATGCGGCAGACGTGCCTTGTGGCGATTTCCCGGATTTCCCCTTGCTGATTGCTGGAGTCCCCCAATCGTTGGGCAACGGGTGATGCTACAATATCCGGTGATGTATTGATGCGTTATTCTTGCTATGATTTAAATATGATTTGCAATTCTGACAATTCTTATGTTATTATACTAACAGAACTTATTCAATAAATAATGTTCTAACAGGTTGTGGCAATTTGTGTCCACAGTGTGCGCAACTAAGCATACAACAGAAAGAGGAGACGAGAACTCAAGCTTTACTACTTATTAAGCCTAATCCGTGTATTAGTAAGCAATTGTAGTAGTGTTAAAAACACTTTGTTTTGAGGCAAAACAGTATCACATTTTGGGTTTTATTTGCAGAGCAAACCTCTAGCTGTATAACCAAAGCACAAGCAGCAAAAAGTGCAACTGAAACAGTGTATATCAACAATTAAGGCTACAATCACATGGCAACACAAGAGCATCTAGTTAGTTGCACTCAGGAGGTGGTTGAACATTGCCTCTGGACGCAGCCACTCTGTGCTATGGCCTCATACAGGCCAATTGGCTGTGGCCAGAACTGCACAGAAATGCTGACCTTTGATGCGCAGTGTTTCCATCCAGGGTTGGTTGGAAGCTTTATTAGCATGTAACCACTCAGATTAGTGGTTACATGCAAGCAATGGTGGCATGCTGGTAGCACAGAGTGTGTAGGCAGTGCTTAGTACTGCCGGCAAGAAATCTACTGCCTTGTAAATGTAGCCCAACACTACAATTAACATGGAAAAAGAGCACCTCATTACACAAGCAGATAATTATGGCAGGCATTAAAATACAAGTACGCCAACAATTTAGAGCAAGTCACAGATTATT